TCTTTGACTTTCTACAACTTTCTCCCATCTCCCGACTGCATCTCTGGAGCTCAGCCACAGTCATCTTTGGGTTCTTCTGTACCTCTCTCACCAAGGCTCTTCTCCCCTGATAGCTCAGTTTGGCCGGACGGCCAGCTCTAGGAAGGGTTCTGGTCGTCCCAAATGTCTTCCATTTAAGGATTATGGAGGCCACTGTGCTCTTAGGCACCTTAAGTGCAGCAGAAATTTTTTTTTGTAACCTTGGCCAGATCTGTGCCTTGCCACAATTGTGTCTCTGAGCTCTTCAGGCAGTTCCTTTGACCTCATGATTCTCATTTGCTCTGACGTGCACTGTGAGCTGTAGGGTCTTATATAGACAGGTGTGTGGCTTTCCTAATCACGTCCAATCAGTATAATCAAACACAGCTGGACTCAAATGAAGGTGTAGAACCATCTCAGGGATGATCAGAAGAAATGGACAGCACCTAAGTTAAATATATGAATGTCACAGCAAAGGGTCTGAATACTTATGACCATGTGATATTTCAGTTTTTCTTTTTTAATAAATCTGCAATAATGTCAAAAATTCGGTGTTTTTCTGTCAATATGGGGTGCTGTGTGTACATTAATGAGGAAAAAAATGAACTTAAATGATTTTAGCATATGGCTGCAATATAACAAAGAGTGACAAATTTAAGGGGGTCTGAATACTTTCCGTACCCACTGTATATAAATACATTTTGATTTGATTTGATTCAAATAGTCAAATACCTTGTCTCAAAGTAAATTACAGTATTTCAAGCATTTACACATAGCAGAAAAGGAAAGGCTTAAATATAAAAAGAGTGCATGTGAAATGTGAGCCCTTATGCAGCCTGTGTAGACTGCTGCATTCAGCCTTTCTCTGGCTCTGCATAGAGAATGTGCTATATGAAAATGAGCATTAAAGCTGTTCTGGAGGCTCTTGGTGGGGAAAAAAACTTTTTTTGTGTCCTTGTGTGCCATTTGTTAATCGCTCCACCTGCCTGTGTGACATCATCTCTTCCCAACATACAGTATCTGCAACCTGATCCTGCCACACATACTCATCACAAAGCCTGCTGTGCCCAAAACCCACGCCCATCCTAATTAGTATGAGGAGTCTACAGTGTGTGTAATAATACTGAATCAAGGCAACTGGCCTATAAAGCTATAGAGAAAAGGAGACCGAGAGGTCAAAGCCAGATCTGGTGCCTGCCTTTCTTGCTGGCCATGCTGAGCTAGTGGTTAACAGCTGTTTGCTTGGCAGGAACTCAACAACATGGATATTTAGTCACAGGCTGCTAAGCCCAGAATTGCTCCCTTTTATTTTTAGGTCTGTATGTTGTATTATTCTCTCATTTAAAGAAAAGGGTAGGTATGAAGAAAGAAACATTTGCTATGACCAAAGAGGATGAATATGTGTGTGTTTGTGGGCGGCCAGTGGGGAGGGGTAATCAGCCTTTGCGCATTGTGTAAAAGTCACATTATATGTTGTACACTATGTCAACAATAGAGTACAGTACCTGCACACTGTATGGTGAATTGTAAAGAAAATGAGATGTGTAACCAAATTTTTTTAGAGCTACTGTGTGCTTTTTATCTGCTATTTTCCATCTTCATAAATGATTTGTCAAATGCTGCAATGATACTGTCAATAAATACGAGCAATTGAGAAACAAGGCTTTAAGTCTAAAGCACAGGTAGCAGCTCCTAGGGGCTGCAGTGTTCTCTACACTACACAATGTAAACTTGTACTGTGGCTATAGGAAAGGTCATGGGGTCATTCATTTTCTGCAGAGTATTTATATGATTGAGATATCATGTGCACTTAGTTGACACAGTGTCCTCGGAGCAGCACTACAACAAAGCTCATAGCATCTAGACTGGAAGTTGTTCATCTTCTGAGGAGTGCATAAAGTAAATTTCAAACACTTGTCTTGAATACAAGTTCCAATTTTGATATGATGGTTATGTACTAGACAAAAGGCCAGGGTTCACCAGAAACATTAAAATTTTTCTTCTTCTTTTATGTACATCCACAGTGTCCATTAAGCCTAGCAAGATGCCATGCTATACACTAAAGTGTGCATACGTATCAGAATGACAGAAGTGTGTATTTTCTTCTCCAGGAGGTTCAGTGCTACACTGCTGATATGAAGATCACATCAGAGCACTCCAGCCACCCTGACAACAAGCACAAGAACAGATACATCAACATAGTGGCCTGTGAGTACACATCCACAGCACCATAGGCCCTACTTTTGTTCTTTACAAAGTAAAAACTCTGATGTGAACATTTATTCCTTTTGCAATTTAAACTGCTGCAGTCAACTGAGGCAAAACATATTTTATATGGAGCCTTTTAAGACATGTAAAGAAACCTACAATATTTGATATGCAAGTCAGTTCATGTGTTGATTCTACTGTAAATTCCAGGGAATTCCCGGTGTTTTGCTGGTGGGATCCTACCTTTTTTGAACACACTTATTGTTACTGTTAAAAATACAGTGTTGTGTTGTGAATATATATATATATATA